GTATGTATAAAAATTTAATTTCTGCAAATGTATTTTTGAATTTTCTAGTATATATTCTATTTGCAAATTGTAATAGACAAATCAATCATAAAATTGTCAATAAACTATATTTATCTACACGTATATTGCCCACATTATTTACGTTACGTTACGAAATGTCTATAAACAAAGTTATGGCACTGTCAATTACATGTAAATAATTTATTTGAAAAATTATTATCAATTGATTTATGCGGTTTATTAATAGAAACATTAATCAATGTAAGCCGCAATTGGCGAAAGAGATTATGAACTTTCAATGGCCTATTTGCGTTGTATGTAAACTTAAATGTATAATATTCTATGCTTGACTTAGTTTTGTAGCATAAATATTTGTGAGCATGATTTTGATTAAGAAGCGTTTTATTAAGAACTGTATATTTTTGATAATGATAATAAATTTTGTGTCGAGCTAAAAATAGATGTTGATATTATTAATTTTATTTTAAATCCGCGCGTGCACCTACTTTCTAATAATTATATACTACATAAAAATGTAAAAATACTTTCATTGAGGCTCTTACAATTAGAGTTCAAAACTTTTTTATTATTTATTATCAATTTATTGAATATTTATTAACTTCCCGTAGGGTAGGTTATTGTATCCTTTAACTGATAATTGAATCTGAGAAATTAACTTTAAGATGCAATTTTTTTAAAATATTGTAGACTTGTGATTATATTTGTTTGAATTATATATAACTATTCCTGGCTATTTAGAGCAGCTAATTTCAAGAATATAAATAAGGTATATTAAACATTTCAATACCAAATATTCTACATGGAAATGAATTATCCATACATAATGTTACAATTAATAAAAACGACTAAAACTAGAAAAAAAAATAATAATTAACTAAAATCATACAGGTTTTAGTCTTGCAATCACAAGACTACGGGTTCTATTTTCACAAAAACTTTATAAATTTTTACTTGAAAATATAGCTTATAAATATGATTTCAATTAAAAATAGAGGCATTTTTGCATGCCTGTATAAATCACTATCAAAAATATTTTTGAAGTATTTTGCAATAATCTCATTACAAAAAGAATGGGCACCCATTGGGATGCTTTCCAATAATCCCCGATAAAGAATTAAATCACAATAATAGCTCTGATTTCTCTACATTAACAATTTGAACTTGCTAATCTATGATATAATATATCATGATATCATGTAATGAAGAATGGTGGTAATTTCACACTAATTTGAACACGACATATAAATTACAAACCCAAAATAAAATGTAGTGTACCTACTCCTTCTAGAGATTTCATAATTATTCTAGTGTATTCTTCTATTCACATTTATTATTTATGTGATGTTAGAGTATTAATTACGAAGTTTGCAATTAAAATTGTTTTCCTACAAATTTCTTTTTCCTTTCTAATATATAAATGTAAGGTTTCTATAAATATATTTTATAATATTTATATAAAGCTTTACAATCATTCATTCCCCATCGTTTATAAATCCATTTGTTTGCGGTTTGACACAGGCGCGTTATTTGCTCACTTTGAATTTTAATGCCTTCAGGCCCAACAAATTTTATCCCTATGCAATATACTTCGTAATAAATCACTGCTATTAATATTATAAATCTTTTATAAATCTGTTAGTAAATATTTTGGAAAACCAAATTGTTTCACACGGTAAAATTAACTAACTCAAATTCTATATATCGTACTGTAAATTATTACTTTCTTCCGGAAATATAGATAGAAAAATTATTTTGTGTTTATTTCTTTGATTAAATGTAGTTTGCACAATGAAAATATGACACTGCACATTTTCCCTTAAAAATTCATTAAGACTTAAATCAACTAGTGTGCAATAAATTTTAGTCTAAAATTTATTTTCAACTTTGATTTCTGAGTCAATAGTCATTTGTAATCACAATGTCTCGGGTTAAAATCCGCATTTCGGACAGCTTCATATCAAGCAGTTATATTCATTTTTACTTAAAAATATAGATCAAAATATATTTCCAAAACGTTGCTGCAATATTTAAGCTTAAATATATTTTAACAGACAACATTTGTTTTCTTTTTATTATAGAAAAAGCTCACAAAGACAAGGGTCGACACTTGTCTTGTCAACACTGTCTTTTAATCAAATCTAACGATAAATCGAAAAAAATACTTTTGCTACTATTTAGAAAACAATAAGCCTAATTGCTATTCAAATAGTTATAAAAAAACTTCTATTTGCTATTTAAAATTTGCAATGACCGTCTTAATGATGTAAATTATTGCAGAACCTTATAGTCATCATTCTATAAATTTCACGTATTATTTAAATCAATTATTATGTTAAGATCGTATAACATTATATTATGCTATATTAATATAAGTTGCTTAGATGATGAAATTTCACAGTTTGATAATGATAAAAAATTGCAAAAAAGTAACAAATAAAATAATAATTCTGCATTTTGTCAGTTACTTGCATGTAATATGTAACTTTAATACTACGTATGAATTCTAACAAAATCTTGCCGTACAATTTAAGAAAGATTGTTTCTCTTTAGATCTTAATTAATAAAATTGCAATAAATCTCTCACCTCTGCAATTATTTATTCTCGATTCATAAACATATAATCTTAAATCAATGTAACTTCATATATTGTATATAGTATTAAATCAGTGTTTTAAACGTGGGTTAACTATTATATATTCATTCACATGCCCTACCCTGCGTTCATAATAGTCCATAAACCATATGAAAGATTTTTAATTTGAATTGCCTTTGATGACTAATAGTAATAATCAATTAATAATACTCATTATTATGAATAATGAAATATATAATATTTTCTTGATACTTTCGACGTTTGTATAAATCAATAAATCTTCATATTTAAAATAATTTTGTGATTTGTTTTTCTTTATTTTTGAACAGCGATCAGATTTTAACTCCGAGATTTTTTGATGATACTTCTTGATCTAGCAATATTTTTATAAATTTTGTATTACTATAATTTATCTATTGCTAGTCATTTATTTTTTATTTTTAGGCAAAAATGCAAGAGCAGTGCTATTATCATTTCGAAACACATAATTGATCCAAATATTCAATTAAAAATAGACACCAGTACTTCTTGATATTTGGTTGTTTGCTACGATTGTTGAACCCGGAACTCAAGATTACACAGCCGGAATATTAAATTATTTATTTAGGACTATTAGCTCAATTATTGAAATAATTAGTTACAAATTAACTTCTCATTATGATATAATTTAAATGAATTTAGTGCATGTTGATTAGTTGGCTAGTTCATATGAAAATTTTCTCGATGTTGACACATTTTTTATCCATATCTAAATAAATAAAAATATTTTTTAACTTCTCGTAGGGTAAGTTACTGTAAACCTTAAAAAATGGAAATCGGAAATTTTTGCATATCTTCACGTTTTGAAGGTATCTGAACATTTTGGCAAACCTTAGAAAAAATGAATGTGTTTGTGTGCGTGTGTGTGTGTGCTGTTTAGTTTTTGGCAAAAGTCGGTCCGCCGTTTTTGAGTTACGGAGCAAAATGTCCAAACTTTTTGCTTGTGTTGAAACGATCGTTTTTGAGGAAAAAAAATCGGGTTTTCAAAATTTTAATTTGGTACGGGTAGTTCTAACAAATTGCCTCAAGGCACGATGCCATAACCCACTAGTTAATATTATTTTAGGTATAACAAAACTGTATACCTAAACTCTATTGAATTTTATAATACAATCAAAGTTAATATACAATTTTTATTAATAATAATATCAAAGTCGATTAAATTTATTCATGTTCGAAATCCCGTTATATGCCTTGTTGCAAATTATTAAACTATAATAATTGAATGCCATAAACACTGCAATTATTTCTTAATTAGTTATTCGGATGTTTGTAGCTTTTGCGTGTATGCCGTTTGTGCTAACATTATGGACATATTTAAATTTTATTGTTATTGCAGTAATCATCATTATACAAAAAGCTAATGCACCATGTTACATGCCAAACACTAATATAAAAGGCGTTTACGCGCAATTATTGATATAGACGAGAAGCTGATCGAAATTTTTGTAGCTTCCTAAGCTTATTCACTTTTATATTTAATTTATCATTGAAATAAAGTACACAATAAATTATCATTTTCTCAAAGTGTCTTTTTTACGATAGAATTTTGAATAATTTTTTTTGTTATGGATATATCTAATAAATTATTGATAAAACAAAAAACTTACCAGACATATAGACAAACCAAATGAAAGGACATTCTTGCTAGTAATAGAGTTCTATTTAGAAACCTTAGGTACAACTCAATTGAATCAAAAATTATTTAATTAAGGACAAACATATACATTTAACCATTCCTCTTTCAGTGTCTATTGAATACCACTAGAAAATAGCATTTTGAAAGAATTCACATAACTAATGACATCAACTTTTTAATAGCATTTATTTTAAATGAATTTTCAACTTTTACGTTACTAACAGATAAAATTTCATACTGTGTTTTTGGTTAATTTTTTGTACTTAATTTATTATTTTTTAATGTACATCACCGTCTACAAGAATTAAGAAGAATCTTTATATTCTTGCAATCATGCCAAATTTGTGATATGTTGTTGAATATATGCTACAGGTATATTTTTAATAATTATTGAAAAATAAATTTCTGTTCTGTTTCACAATACACGTTTTTTTTTTCATTTTCAACCGCTATAACCACTACATATGATATGAATATTCATTTTGCATTTCCAAATAATTTAAGTATGTACAATATGCACACTAATATTCAAGCTTCAATTATAATTGTTCACCAAAAAAATCTCATTTTGTTTAATAAACAATCAATTTTATTCTGATGCAAATATGAATTTATTCTAAATTGTCCTAAATAAATAGTCTGATATGATGCATGACATGACGATCTAATTGAAAAAATATTCACATAGTCCAAAGTATAAACCATATATTATGAACTTTTCATTATTTGATATTCTTCAAACAACGATTTATACACATCTAAATAATCTTCGTAAAATTCATTCAAATACGCCAACTCGTCCAAATTATCTTCATTGGCCACACTCAAACGTGCTCCTGAACTTTTGACCTCTTGCAAGGCCTCGGAAGTCCTTGTTTTCAAATCCACGAAATCACGTCCTGTTTCTTGAATTCCATCATAAAATTCTTCTAATTTATTTTCCAAGTCTCGCGCTTTTGCTTGCAAATCTCTGATCCTTCCTTCGGTGTCAATGGTGAAAGGATTGGCGGCTGAGCAGTCGTCCTCATCATCGATTTTTCTCAAAATATTTTTGCATAAAATTGTTTTCAAATCGCCAGTTTGAGCTTTGAGTTGGTTAATTAGATTCTTAATTGCTTGAATGTCTTTTTCGTTATCTCGGATGGCACGCGACAAATCCGAGTTGCGGGTGTCGAAATCTCCGCTCCGAACTGTGGGCATTGCCTTTGTTAAATCCGACAAATATAGAAGTATAGAGCAAAAAATGAGAGTTTTGAGGGCAGCCATTGCAGAAATATCTGTTTCTGAAAATAAAAAAAATATTATTAAACCAACTTATATACGACAAAAATCATGTGGGTGGCAATTGAGATATATATCCAGGCACGGTAGTAGCCCAAGATTTTGGACAAAGGGCAAATCGAGATAAACAAACTTTTTTTTATTTTACCATATTATGTACAACTGTCCTTTGTGGACATCCAGTGAATCTAAATACAATACATTTAGTTGATTTATAAATGACAATAGTAGAAGTAATCAGTACTGCTGTTCCTTACTTACACAATCTTCATGTATTTTTATAGTTTTGGGTACTTCTCGTATTTTCAAACGTAATTGGTGACATGTCTATTCAATTTCTTTCACATATATATTTCAAAACATCAGAATGTAATTCTATATGGATTATATGCGGATCCATAAATATATCTCAATGATATTCATAACGAGGAAACCTCAGGTTTATTTTTCTGGGATTTTGATGAAACTTTGCATGGTGATAGAGATGATAGTGAAACCAAAACTCTTAAAATATTATAGACATATGAGAAGTGGTTTAATTTTTAAAAAAATGTAAAAATTTTTATAATTAAATCACTTCACTTAATAGGTCTATAATATTCTAAGGTGTCGTTTTGACCATCAACTCGATCATCATGCAAAATTTCATCAAAATTACTGAAGAGTGAACCTGAGATACTCTTTGTATGCTAAATGAAATTTTGTACATATGAATTATACAAAATGAATTTATTGTTTAATTATTATCGCTTTGGTTTGTTTTTTACAAAATGGTGAGTTCAAACATATGTTAAAATATAGGTTAAAATAATAGAATAAATTAAATATTTGAAAAAATGTACAAATTCTGAATACTCGTATCACAATGTTAATTAAAGTCAAAGCAGTAAAAAAAATGCGTGAAGTAGGAATATGCAACTTATCCAATTGCTAAACAATAATTTGAGTAATCAAATATCTACAACATGCTATTATTGTACTTATTAGCACAACGCTAATTATATTTACTACAAAATTAATACAACTAATCAATACTAATGACTCGGATACAACTATTAAATCCGATTATACTATCGGTAGTTCAAAATGGCAATCATCGTACAACCATATATTAGCTTCAACAATTAATTAAATATTTAGAATCAACAATAACCAGAAATGACTCGTTATTATATGAAAGAAACACATTTAATCTAATACTCACATCAAGTTTGTGTACTATAGTCTTGAAGATAACAAACAAATAGAAATGTGCTTTGCTTCTGTACACACGATAAATACACTTTTATATAAATTTGAACGTACTTGGAAGTTTTATAAGAAAAGTAATATATTCTTAGCTCTTTGAACGGGAGAAGACTAAATTTGTTTTATATCTTATGACGATGCTCATATGCCGAAGCTTGATAAGTTGGGTTATAGGTTATACATACAAGCGATTATAGTATATATAAATATATACAAATACATACAAATATGTATATATCTTCTATATCTTTTATATAGCATTTTTGTTTATGATATATTTGGTATATGTATATACGCACGTATTTAAATGCGTATGGAAAAAATATATCTAATTATGTGATAAGGATTTTATTTCAATTAAATTGTAATAAAATGATTAGACTTTGCATTGCAATTATGATGCAAAACTAATTAGAGGCGTATCATGCAGTTATATTTCGAGTGTTAATAGATTTCTAATTCGTCAACATATTTGAATATAGAACAAATTTGAATAAATTGATAAAATCATTACATTTACATGTGGTTAATCGGATATCTTGGCAGTATCGGCACTTTAAAATTTGAGTTCTACGTGCAATTTTCAGAAACTTTGACGAAGAAACTATAGGTCGAAAGTGATCTTTGAGCCAGCGGATTAGCATCTACTCTTTCCGAATTTGATTCTTGCATCGACCAGTTTGATATGAAACGTATCATTCTAATTTTTTTACTAGATATAGACATGATATAAAGTAAAAATTACCCTTTGATGTAATTTCTGTGAACATAATGAAAAGTTAAATATCACAGAAAGCTTAGCAACCACAAATTGTAAGAAAACCTACTCACTCGTTTGGGAATTTTTTTGTCTTATTGTTTTGTTTGGGAATTTGATCGAATTTCATGGATATGAAATTGAGAGACAGCACAAAAATACGTAATTATACTATTGGTCTATGAGAAGTTTTAAAAAATTGTAGTTATACTAGCGGCATTCAAAAATACAAAAAATTCGCATAAAAGTTGGGACTTAATCGTTAAAATTAATAGTCAAAGAGTCTGAGTATTTTTATCAAATGAACTGACTATAACATTTGAAGCCCTAATTTGTATTTTTGTGAAAATAATCTGATGACTGTTTTGCTAATGATGCAATTGCTAAAGATAATTGCATAGCAAGATTTATACAGAGCCATGTAAAAACCATTTTTTTCAACCATCATTTTTAAATAGTTTGCTTCGAAATTTGATAAACTCGACAGTTCCATCTAAATAAATGTGAAATATCTAATGCTCTTATGTTTTACAATTCGTTTATCAGTTCGTCATATACTCACCAAAAATATTAAATTATAAATATGAATTAAAATTATCTGGATACAGAAAATTAATAAACGTATACATATACCGTAAAGATTGAAACTAGTTTTGTTCCATTTTATTGCAATAAGATATAAAAACTAAATTATTTAACTTACTTTCTATTAAGGAATAGATTCTGTAAATAATATTGATCAGCAAGTTCTACAGTTCATTCTATTAATAGACATGACACATTAAATTATCTCTTCTATGCTAAATATATCTTTAGAGTAGCACATGATTTCAATTTAAATTTATTAGTTTATAAAGTATGAAACTGTGCTTTTATATAAACATCAAATATATATATATATATATATATATATATATATATATATATGTGTGTTTTGTAGATATCACTTTCTACTTAGTTTCAAGCAATCAACACATAATTTTAATTAACGTTCTATCCTTCGCTCTCATTGAATTATTATCGGTGATTGCCCTCACTTTATAATTGCAGTACTTTTATCTTCATTTAAAATATATTGTTGTGAATAATTGTAGAATAAAAAAACAACAACCTTTATTTTACAAATAATTTGTATTTGAATCACTTCATAACAATATATGTTAATTATTGGACTTTGGTAAATGATTGTCAATATCGTACGGATAAGTTACATTGTAACTAAGAAAAATTATGTAAATATAGTAATGGTTATATATATATATATATATATATATATATATACTAGATATCCCGACAGACGTTGTCCTGTACCCACGTCTACAATTCAAAAACCTGAACAATTTTTAACATACTTTATTATATCTTATTTCGAAATGTTTTTGATGTCAAACAATGATATTTTTTATGCATTTTTCTTCATTCTACAATAATATTGTATTTTATAATTATTTTAATCCATAAATTTTTTCTTAACAAACTTCAAAAAGATTTATCAAAATTCGAATGACCGTGTAGGAGTTTCTGTTCATACATCTGTACAGAAGAATTTTATATATAAGATATAGAAATCTTATTTTTGTTTTTGTGCCTCTATTGTTGCAAGACTTTTGCAATTTATATGCAACAATAATTTTCAAGTGCTAATCTTATTATTTTTGTACAACTATAACAAATACAAATTACATTATAATTAATCAATTAAAATCAACTACTCGGGTAATTTAATACTTGCCTTGATATTACTTTAAAGCAAAATGCTCTTTACATATAATTCCCTCCCATTAATTTTGAATTTTTGTTAAAATACATAATAGTTAACGAGCATTTAATTTTTTCCTTCTCCGTTTTCATAACTATAATGTATGTCTCTTCACAAAAATTCCCTCGCAAAAAAAAATATTTTCATTTACACGTTGAAATTAAAAAGTACATTTTCCAGTTTAAATATCAAAGTTGTAACAAGGCAAAGTTAATTAAAAATACATAGGATACACCTACTGTGCTCATGTTTACATGAGATGAAAGCACCGTCAGCTTTTCTGACTAGCACATTTTTATGTCGTTATGATTTTGTTCCTTAAAACGTTTAATACACACATTTTTTTAATCGTGGGTATAAAAAATATATAGTTGATTCTCATGATTGTGGCTTCAACAAGAACATTATGTGTACATTAGATATAGAATAGAAGAATACAAAAATACAAGTTTAAAATCATTATTTTTGAGTCTCGCACTCGAATCGATTTACAATAGTTCTTTTACAGTAAAATATCATGTTGTTTTTGACGAATATGCGTTATCTAGGTGAGGTTTTATATCTAAAGCGCATGACTTCGCAGGAACCACATAGCATTTTGACAGTTTTTAGTACCAATTTATGTGAAAAAACGCAGCGTAGTTTAGCCTTGCAATAACAATTGTCTTTTATGGCGGAATTGGACGGTTTATTTTAGAATAACTAAGGATAGTTAAAATTATAAATGTTTAAAAAAAAATGTCAGTTTAGGATACCTATAATTTACTATTTTGACACTTCAAATAAATTAAATCATTCAAATTCTTTCCAAATTTTAATAATACATATCGAAGTTGTCTGAAAAGCATCACTTTCATGATGCCAATTTAAACTCGAGTTTAACATTTATCAAATAGCTCTCGAGTTCAAATACCGAAAATACCGGTATTTTTAAGGTGATAACCGGTATTAATACAGCCGAAAATTTGGGCGGTATACCGGTTTCGATGCACTGGTTTTTCGGTATATTGGTGTACCGTAAAAACATTCCCCAGTTTGTATACCGAATATCACCATTGAGCTCCCCGTAGATACGTATTTAAAGCAATAAAAATTTGATGCTTATTTTGGGCAGCCTGTCGTCAAGCACTGATTTCATTGGCTTTCACTTAGAAATATAGATATCAATGTATTACTAAGTGAATTAGTCTTTCCAGGCATTGCATCAAGGAAAAAAACTACCTGTATTCCAGAAATTGTAATGATAAATACAGCAAATAGATAGATAGGACAATCGTTTGCATTTTCATGCATAACAACCATGTTGTTTAAAAAGTCATTGTAACAGCTTATTGGAATCGTCTGGTCTTGATTGCTGTTAAATTTATATTAAAAAAGTTCTCATTATTTGTGAAATTATTGCACCATTAATAAAAAATTAGTATTTCAGAAATTGTAATAATAAATTCATCAAATAGAGAGATTTGATTTGCGTTGCCATCTATAAAAAGCCACGAGCTGACACATTAAGTCCTGATTGCTGTTAAATGTATATAAAAAAAATGTGAGATAATGGCAGTATTGATAAAAAAATCATCACTTTTTTATACATTCTAATGATGAATTGATCAAATCGTAATAGGACAACCATCGCGGTTGCTATCTATAAAAAGCCAGTCGTTTAAGAAGTCAGCTCAGCAACTCATAAGACTTGTTAGGTCCTGATTGTTGTTAAAGCTATATAGGAAAAAAATTACTATTTGTGTGATCATTGCAGTATCAATGAAAAAATCATCAGTATTTCAAAAATTGTAATGATAAATTCATAAATAGATATTGGACAACCTTTTGGGTCGCCATCTATAACAACCACGTTGTTTGGAAAGTCTGCACAACTGCTCATAGGACGCGCTAAGTTCTGATCGGTATTATTGGAGATATAAAATATATTCCCACTATTCGTGAGAAATTTATCTATTTCGCCTAACGTGTGAAAAATACTCATCTTCACCATTATTCGCCATTATTTACATTCGGCTTGTGTGTATAGGTTCATTAAGCTAGATGCCGAGGACAATGTTTGCATGAGCAATCCTGGCACGCGTCTTTATAATGAAATAGCGGACGCCATATATCATCTCGCTAATAACCCTAGCGAATGCTGTTGCAACTCTTTGTGTCATTTTTATAAAATATGTGTGTATAACAAACGATAACAATATAATACCAGTGAATTGTGGTCAGATTTACTATATATTCTTCACGGATTTTAAAGTTGGGTATGGCGATAGTTTGATTCTATTGGAGGAACTTGTTTGTTTTGGTTTTATATGGTGTGATTGAGATCCGAGGTGTTTCACACATGTTTCATTGATAGAATATCGAACATTAGTTACATTAATGTCTTGAATCAGTTACATTAATGTTTCTTAATGAATATTATAATATATTTAGATATATTCATATTATATTCATTTATTTCTAAATAAATAATTTTTTATTCTTTATATTTCAAGGTTTTTTCA